CGCACCGGGGGGGGCGAGGGGGGGTCAGCACCTCCCGGGGCTTGGCGTTTGAAAGCCGGCCGGCCTCCGGCGGAAGGTGGCCTGGGGGGGGGGGGGGGGGTTTCACGCCCCACGGTCCGTCCTGGGTGGGCTTGGCACTGCGGGGCTGTGTTTGCTGTTGCTGTGATTTTGGGGGGACGATGGTAAGTGTGTGTGTGGGGGGTCCTGTTAGCAGCTCATGCCTTGAAGGTAGAAGACGACCAGATGTCAGGAAGATATTTTTTATGCTGCGGGTGGTGAGGCGCTGGCCCAGGGTGCCCAGAGAGGTGGGCGATGCCCCATCGCTGGAGACATTCGAGGTCGGGCTGGACGGGGCTCTGAGCAACCTGACCGAGTGGGAGATGTCCCCGCTCGTGGCGGGGGGGGTCGGACTAGGTGACCTTTAAAGGTCCCTTCCAACCCAAACCAACCTATGACTCCCAAGAGATGTGTCACTCTGAGTGGCATCCCTGTGCAGCTCATGGCAATAGTGGCTAATCTCAAAGTTGTGGCTGGTTTGTGTCTGTTGAGCGGGTCTCTGTCTCCTTGCAGCGCTCAGGGCTCAGTCGGAGTTGGTTTGACATGGAAATGACTGAAGGGCTCTTTCCTTTCCAGATTATCAACTGACAAGCGCCGAGTTGTCTTCACTGCCAGCGTTCAGCTCACCTGGTGGGCTGTCCCTCGGCAACATCTCTGCTTGGCAGCAGCAACAGCAGCAACAGCAGCAGCAGCAGCAGCAGCAGCAACAGCAGCAGCAACAGCAGCAGCAACAGCAGCAACAGCAGCAGCAACAGCACCTGGTTCCTGTATCACTAGGAAATTTAATGTAAGTGAAATGGATACCAGGGGCCAGTCGGTTGATGTTGTCAAAGGAAAGAGGGAAACAGGGAATTCCTCCAAAGTGCCAAACCTGCAGAATCCGAGCTGCGACTCCTCCGTTGGGTTATTGTCAGCCTCCCACTGCAGAGCCCCGGCAATGACGCTGTGCTTCTAGGAGGCAGGAGTAAACGTGCCCACAGCTGCAGGAAGAGCCAGACCAGCCAGGTTGTGAGGTTTGGGAATCCTGTCCCTACCACTGTCATAGGAGTGAGCCTGGAGTCCCCCGATGAGATCAGGGCAGCAGTGTGCTAGGTGATGGATGCTCTCTGAGAGCTGCTTCTTGCTGTCTCTCCACAGCAGGATTGGTCTCTTCAACTCACGGCTGGGGAGCTGAGATCCAGCAAGAGCCAGAGTTAAATGGGGTGGTCGTTACAGAATAAGATGTCTGGAAATAGTGGTCCCGCTAGTGTAGAAAGAGGGTAGCTTTTAATACTGAAAATGAATTGCTTTACTCCAGGGAAAAAAAATACGTGCACTTGCATATTGGAGCAGGTTTTCTGAAGTGGATCCACTTTTAGGCTGGAATAAAGCTTCCACACACAGACCTTTTTCAGAGTATCTTAGTCAAAATAAAGATTTAAGCCACTTGCCTATGATCACACTAAGACCGTGGGACAAAAAGAGGCAAGAATTGAAGAGGAGGATTCAGTGACTTTGCCCCAAAGCCAGCTTAGGAGTAAGACTCTGACATCCCCAGTGTGAAGTACCAGGCGGATGTATGGAGGCACCAGGCTTTTGCACAGGGAGTTCAGTGCGTTTCTCCACTGCCTGGAGCACGTTTTCCAGGCAGGGCAGGTAGCAGCTTCCCCAGCAGCTGCCTGGACCTCCTGCGCCAGCGGGGCTGCAGGACGTGTGGCAAGCCTGGATGGAGTTTTGGGATGTAGTGAAGAGGCTGTAGAGGTTCCCGGCTTGGAGGAAAACCACCCGTCAGACCCCTCCGCCAGATTTGTGCAGCCCACGGGGGATGCTGGGGTAGAGCGAGACAGGGGTGTCTCAGCCTGTCCCTCTCCTCCACGCGTTTGAGTGGCTGCTGTGGGGCCGGCAGGTGGGATCGGGGCTGAGTCGTGGGGTGCTGGTGGAGGAGAGATGCTGCCCGCAGGGGTTGTGCAGGGTCTCATCCTGGTGCAGCAGTGATGTGTCATGGTGAGTGTGCAGATTAGGAATTCTGGAGTCATAGTAATTCATAATTCTAATTATGAATCCAGATTCATAATCTAATTCAGATTCATAATCTAATCCAGATTCATAATTCTGGATTCATTCAGCTGTGGGGTCTGTGGGTTGTGCATTCTGTGGATTGGAGGGTAAAAGGCCACTGAAAAGATGAATAATGAGAGACTTCCCGTTATCTCCTCCTCCATCTGTTTCTCCCCCTTCCTCCCCTCCTGCTCTCCTCCTCCTCCTCCTCCTCCTCTCCCAACCTCATCCCCCTGCCTTCCGGCCACCCAGACAAGGGAGTCACTTGTCCCACACCACCACTTTGACTGTCAACACCAACCCCAACATCAGCATCAAGTCGGAACCCGTCTCGCCCAACCGGGAAAGAAACACTGCTACCCCGCTCAGCACCTTCCCCCACCAGCCCCGGCACGAGCCCACCGGCCGCTCGCCCGTCGACAGCCTCAGCAGCAACACCAGCTCCTACGAAGGCAGCAGCGAGCGGGACGATCCTGCCCGCCCCGATTTCGGCTCATCCCTGGGCCTCCTGCGACCCACCAGCGAGCCCGAGGGGGAAAGCCCCTCTGTAAAGCGTATGCGGTTGGATACCTGGGTCACATAACGGGTCCCCGCCGTCCCTGGGAGTGTCGCCGGCTCGCAGCGGGGCCATGGGGAGGGGATGGGAGGGTTGGGGGGGGTGGGGGGTGCAGGGGCAAAACGGGCTACTGGGGTGGGGTGGGGGGAAATTATCATAAACTGCCTGAGAAATAGCTTTAGGATTTTGTAGGCATTCATTCTAGCGCAGCAGGCGATGCACGCAGTACATAAGGCGCTCTTCGGCCGGGGGCAGCAGGCTCGGGAATAGCCAGGCATGTGGGGAAGGTGGGGGGGAGTGGAAATTAAATACCTGCGTCCTCATCGAAAAAAGCAGTCCCTGGCGATGCTCATCCCCACGAGCCGGTGCAGACAGGCGAACCAGGCGGCAGTCAGTGCCCGCTGACCAGTGAGACCCCGGGGATGTTGGTATGTCCCCCCCTCCCTGGGAGGTCGGACCGTATCCCTAGAGAAGAGCGCCTGCAGCAGGACAGGATCTGAGGGGAGACGGGGCACAGAGCATCCCTGAAACGCACCTTCGAGCAGCGCCTGGGCTCTCCCAGGTCCACGTGCAGGGAGGGACAGTTCAGACACGATCCAGCTCTCAGAAAGGTTGAAAGGCTTTGGCAGGTGCCGGTTTTCCTAAAAAAGGGTTTTCCTAAACCTATTTTCCTAAACCCTTTGGGAAGGCAGGCTGGCATTGGCTGGGGGCGGCACGGAGAGCCCAGCTTCAATATTAAATGCGGTGCAGATGCATCTGCAGCCTGCTTGTGCTGCCTGGGTCCCATAAAGGTGTGGTGTGTCGGGGAAATAAGAGGCAGATTTTTAAGGCTTAATCCTGTTGCATGAAAAATAGGTGCAGAGAGGATCCTTTTGGGCAGATAAGGGAACTCCCACTATTTCTGGCCACAGTCATTTTAAAACTGCAGTTAACCTGCAGAGGGGAAAATCTTGCCTCTGCCTGGGCGCAGCGTGTTTGAAGAGGACGGATGCGTTATTGCTGCTTTTAAAGAAAATTGCAGGTTTTACCAAACAAAATTTGTAAATGCATTTTAAAAATGCATTCCCATTCCCCATGGGCCAAAGCTTTAGATTAAAAAAATAGGAATAAATGATTTTTATTGAAGGATGCAACTGAAATAATTATCCTTTGGGATTTTGCCTGAAGGTTTCTAGGCCTCAAAAGGTGAAGGTGAGCTGTGCGGAAAATCTGCCGAAGTCTTGACGGAGTGATTTAGTGGAAGGAAAAAGGAGGAAAACCCAAGGAATCTCCTCGTGTTGGTGCTTCCTCTGGCAGTTTTCCAGGGACAGGCAGCAGTGCCCTGACCCCAAAATGCAGCAGCCAGCTCAGGGCTTGAGGGTTTGGAGGAGAAAGAACCATTTCTGGCTGGCGTAGGCTTTTAGGGATGGGCTTTCTCCCTGCAGATGCTCTTCTCTGGGATGCCGGTCCCCCGTCCCCATCCCAGCCTGCCGCCTTGTCACCCTTGCACCGCCTGCGCGGGGACAGCCCTGGCCCCGCTTCACCCCTGGGGTCACGTTCACCAAACCGGCACAAAACCTGCCTGGATGCCACCTTTGCCAAACAGCTCCTTCAGCGGCCGGAGCCTGGATGGGCTCCGGGGGCTGTGGAGAAGCCGGGAGCTGCTTTGGGGCCAGCATCCCCCCTGAAGTCGGTGCAAAGAGAGAGGAGCAAAAAGTCACGGTTGGATTTGTAGCTCTCCTAGTGCCCTCCACCAAGCATCCAGTGTCCAGCTCAGCCTGCTGAAATGAGTCGTGTTGCATAAAGATGTGCTGGGATGATGGCAAAACTAGAAGCAAATTTATGGTTTTTTTATAAACTTTTTCTAACCAAGCGTTTTTCCCAAAGTTTCTAATTGGAAAAACAATTTAGAAAAAAATTATTATTATTGAAACAAACAGGGGCAACTTAAAGCGAGTGGCTGGAGGAGGAGAGGAAATCCTCCAAAAATTGGGTGAAAATTAATAGCTTTGAGAAATGATGGCCAAAGAGGGAAAATGTGGCCATGTCCTGCCCGGTCAGGCACAACAGGGCACAAGCTGCTGGCTAAAAAGAGCCTCGCAGTACATCTCCCAGCACGTCCCTTCTGAGCTAATGTCTACCCTGACTTTTCCTCCTCTCCCCAGTGATGAAACCAGTTCGGATGCGGAGACCCAGCAGAGGGACTAGGGTGGCCGATGCTCAGCCCGGGACTGACCTGCCAGAGCCACCGATGAGCTGATGCGCTGCAGTGCCGGCTCACGCCGAGCCTTGCCCGGTTATCCGCATCTCACCGAAGCCCGGGGCGAGCACCGTGCCCTGAAATCCCTGCCTGCGGGAATGAGGCCCCAAGAGATGGGCTGGCTAAAATTTCCCCATACAAATCTTTGCAATATCAAATTGCTGCCAGAAAAGTTTTTCCCAATGGTGATGATGATTTTTTTTTTGAATGATAAATTTTAATGCCCTCTCCTGTTCCCATGCTCCGGAGGGCCCCAGGCAGGTGGTGGGAATCCCGCAGCATTGGGGAGGGCTCCTGGCAGGTTTTGTGTGGTTAAACCCCCCCTGTCTCCCCTTCCCCGAGCTGTACCCAGTGGGTACCGCCGTGTGCTGGGGAGATGCTCGGATCTCACCTCCAAAATACCGGCGTGGCATCGGCGACAGAAGCGGATCTCCCTCCCTCCGCCTCCGTTTGTCCATACGGGAAGTGGGAGAGACGCTGCAGACCGTGGTCCTCCTCGCCCACGCTGATCCCCCCTCGACCCGGCGATGCTGGGCGTACCGGACACGCACCTGAGCTCTTTGCACGGCCTTGCTTTGGAAATTAGGTGGGATTAACGACCTCTCATTGGTCTCATTTTATATTTTTTTTCTTCACAAAAAGAAAATAAACCCAACCAAACAGTTTCTCCTCTGCTGGGGAACGGCGCGGCAGGAGGTGCCGGCAGAGCGGCTTGCTCCGGAGACCCTGGCGGGGAGGAGACGGCGAAGAGCCGCCCCGACACTCGACGCTGTCCCTGCCGCTGGAGCATCGGTGCGGAGCAACCCCGAGGCGGGGGGAGGGAAACCAAAAAACATTTTTGCTCATTAACTTCATGCCCTGACTCCCAAGTTCACACTTCTACCTTGAAGCTGAGAGCCTGGAAAAAACAAAATCCAAGACATAGAAACGCTCTGGGTTACGTAGAGATGCAGGTTTAGACCTACCTGGAGGGGAAAGTGCGAGTGGTTTGGCACCGTGCCATGCCGTGACCTTCCAGAGCGGATCCACAGCAGCGCGGCGGTGGGACTCGACGATCCCCTGGGCTGGTGCCACGGGCAAGTACGGCTCGTGGGAAAAGTGGGGATGCCCCGGGTCGGATACGGCATTAGCTTCACCGTCGCGGTGAAATGGTTTTGGGGGTTGGTTTGTCGGGGGTCTTTATTTTGTTGGGGGCTTGGGGTTTGTTGTTTTTTTTTTTTGTTTGTTTTTTTGTCCGGGTCATTATTCTTTATTTCCCCCCCCAGACTGTAGTATCCAGTAAACTCCTCCTAATTTTCAAAAGACAACGAGAAGAATGACAATCTAAGAAACCAACACCCTCCTTTGTGCTTCTATAAATACGTTTCTGATCTAATTTTATTTCTCGTGCTCATCTGTACTGTTGACAGTTACAATTGTGTATAATTTTTTTTTTATTTGGAATTTTTGCGTTGTATAGGGTTTAGTTTTAAAATATATATATATTTTCCATTTTTTAAAAAGGGGTGTTGCAAAAAAAATTGCACGATTTAAATGACAATAGTTAAAATGCTGCAGTTTTTAGAGATGTGGAAGCAAAATGGAGCTTATTTATTCTCAAAGGCTATAAAGGTGTAAAATGCATGAAGAAAAAAAAAACATTTACAAAAAAAAAAAAAAGACAAAAAAAGTGTAACCTGAACAAAGTGTAGCGTTAAAAATTTTAAAGGATGACAACAACAAGAAAAAAAAAAAAAACAAAACAAAAAAAAACAGCTAATATATTGTGTTTGGGCTAGTTTGCTTTTGTTTTTAATTGTTCCTTTTTTGGAGAATGAAATACAATTGTGTATATTTTCATATAAGAAGTATGCACTGATATGTTTCAAAAATGATATATTACTTTCTAAAAGTGTGGTTACTTACCAAAGTCTGTTTCTGATCTTTACCTTCTTGAAATCTCTGTGGATCCCTCGAACACGCGCACGCCGGGGCTCAACGCCGCGGGCCGGATCCAGAGGTAAGCCGGGGTGGTTTGCACTCCGGGGCCGGCCGCCGAACGGTGCAGACCCCCCCACTCCAGCCTCTGCTGGCATCAGCCCCCTCTTCTCCCTCCGGTTGCTCCAGGACTCCTCTGGTCCCCACGGAGCGATTGGGATGCGGGAGCCCAACGCCGGTGCGGCTGCTTTTGGGGGGGACGCGGGGCTGGCACTGGTGGATGCGGCCGCGATGCTGGCGTTGAGGGGGTGGCTGTGACCCCCCCCATCCCGGGAAGGCTGGTCTTTCCCAGGATTTGGCAGAGTTGAGGCCGGTTAGTTTTGGGGGTGTTTGTGCCGGCGGTGGTGGGGACGGGGCTGGCCAGATCCATGGTGTCCCTCGATGGGACGATGCTGGAGAGAGCAGTGTTACGGGGCGGGGGGGGGTGCGTGTGTGCAAATGCAGAATAAAGGGTACGTCCATGTGCCGGGGGGACACGGCGAGTCGGTGAGGTCTCTGCCGCCGTCATGTGCCAGGATAACTGGGGTTTTGGCCCTGGCTGGTGCAGAGAGGAGGAGAAGGAGGATGGAAGGAGGTGGTGGGGTCTGGCTCGGGTGATGCTGCTGCCGGCAGCCGTAGCACCCGGATGGGGTGGGAAGTCACCTGCCCACCCCAGGATGAGATTTGGGGATGGAGCAGAACCCTAAATGATGCCTCGAACCTCAAATACCAGGGGGGGGCTGCCGGGGTGCATCAGGCAGGCATTGAGGATGGTGATGGATGGATGGCAACGGTCTCACCCGCTCCAGGAGTGGGGGGGCACTGCAGAGGCAGCAAGCCAGTGCCAGGTTGGGTGCGAGGGGACGAGT